TTACCAGCCAGGAGGGAAGGGTCTTTCCTGTGGGAAGTTTTATTTTACTCTTTCTCCTGTTATTTCCCAAGAACCTTGAAGCCTCGAGTGGTCTATCTTTGCTCTACCACTATATAGAACTGGCTTCGAAAAAAAAAAGAAAAAAAAAGAAAAAAAAAAAAAGAACTGGCTTCGAAGACGGAAGGAAACTCATTCAGGGTCTGGTCCTGATAGATTCTGTAAGCTGAACTCTTTCTGTGTTAAACTGCAAACTCGGTAGCGTGCAGGGCGAGGAGCAGGGGTGCCGTGTGTGAGGGCACACGTGCTTCACAAAGCTCTGGGGAGCTAACCTCCAGCTGGGCGCACCCATGTTTGCAGTGTAAAAATTTGGACCTAGGGCTGCCAGATCTTCAGAGTCATCAGAGAAGATGCGTATCTTGATTTTTTAAATTAATTTCAAAGATTCTGTTTTTCAAACGGTGCTGAGATTGTTTTTAACTACACAACCAAACAAAACATCCATTCTGTTGTTCAGAAGCTGCAGGTGGTCAATTTGTCTCTGATTGCAGACATTTGTATCACACATAATAAGCTCTCAGTACATTTGTTTGTCTACTGTTATTACTTCACTTGATTACTCAAACAGGGACTTTGCAATTGGTCTATTTGTTTTCTGCACAAACTTCCTGTGTTCCTGATTAAACATTAATTGTGCAATTCCTAGTCTTCTCTCGATCTTCTGATGCATCCTGGAGAAGGTATTGAAAAACATTTTATTTTCTCCTCTACTTCCATTTTTATGTTCAGCCTGGAGATAAGTCTTACTTTGTACTTTGACGCTATTTTCAAAGTGAGTATGCACTACTGATTTATGATTTGGTTGCTAGAATGAAGATCTTTGGTCAGAACATTTTGTATTTCTACAATATATATACTTTGCTGTATGAATATGCCCTCCTAAGAGAAGATACTTCTGGATCTGTCCTCGAAGTACCCACTGTGTCCTTACCCCACATCAGCTTTGTTTGGTTATTTTTTGCACAAAAGGATTAATTTAAATTCAGCTAACTTTAGTCCTAGCCAATGCGGGTGTTTTAAGATATATATAAAAAGAAGTAACCAAACACAATCTGGCTTGTCAAAATCACTAAATAACCAGCCTCAGGTCTTGAAGCTTTACAACATCCTCATTTGCTAAAAATTCAGTGCTGTAGGGAAACAGGAAAAAGCGTGAAAAGCCACAAAGCGCCAAACAAATATTATTTTTATACAGTCTAGTCACAGCAAACTCAGTGATTCAGTGAGAGAATTTTCTAGGAAAGAATTAGAATATATGATCATTGTGTTTATTATTATGATCCTAGCCAATATTCTTATTTGCTCTTAAATGCTTTAGGGTGAAAACAATCTATCAGGCAAGCACCTACGGGAAGACACCTCCCCCCTCCCAAAGGTATGCATTTGTCTATAGTTGAATTTGTTTCTGTGTCTGTTACAAGTCAGATGACAGTGAATGCCTATCACATCCAGCAGGGCTTGGAGAGATGATCTTCTGAAACTCCATTTGGGAAGAGAGACAAAGCGCCTGTAACTAACCAAGATACCACTAAAAGTTGAGTGGGCTGAGCATCAACAACGTGGACATTTCCAAGGAAGAATGAGGCAGGCGCATAGGAGAGGAATCATCCTTAAAGACACACAGCTAGTGAGGAAAAGAACACTTGTGGTTGACATTGCTGTCAGAGCAACACAGGAGGAGGAAAAATAATGAGGAACAAGACATTTTTAAAGCACCACTTTAGGTAACTTCAGGCCACTTAGTATTTCAATTGGCCAAATTTGGATAATTCAGAGATAAATTCAGGGTCAAGAAGAATAAATGAAATTGGCAAAATACAAAGAAAGGTTGTTGAAGGGCACCAATGATACGTATGTCACAGCATGTCACATAACATATAATTGACTCCCAATTACTCAGAAGTAGGTCATTTAGTTTAGTAATAATAATTATAATAGGTGCTGATTTTATTCTTGCAAACAAAAATCACTGGGTCCACATTTTGATAAATTGCAATGGTCTGACTCTTTTTTAGTTCTTCCTACATCTTCTTCTCTTCCTTCCTCCAATCACATGACCTGCTACCAGTGCATCTCCTGCGCGTGGTACAGGGACTGCCAGCTTTGGGTCAATGGCAGGATGGGAGGTTACAGCACTGATTGCAGCATCCACTTAGGTGAGTTAAATAGACAAGCAACCACTTTGTGGTGCGTGTTAACATGAAAACACAACATTTTCATATTTTCCAGTGGAGAGGTCACCTGTGTCAGCTGTGTGTCAGCATCCTGGGAACATCTTCCCAATAAACCAGGCAGCCGAGACAAGAACAATGCATTTTTTTTTATATAGATCTGTTTCATTGTTGCTTAAAAGAAGAAAAAGATGGAGGTACCTCGTATCCAATTTGTGCTACCAGTAAGAATTACCCTGGTAGTAAAATGAGCCACGTAAGAGATGATTCGCACTTTATAAAGATCTTCCTTCTCTGTCTCTGACAAATCCAGGAGGGGATAATTTTTCTGACTAACTGGGGAAAAAAAAGAAGAAAAGAGGACAACTTCCCTTTCCTAGGCCACCTTCACTAGCATTCACTCAGGAACATGCTATTATGTTGTACGTCCAAAGAAAATTAACTTAAAAAAATGTTTGCCTAACTCATGGTAAGTATATGTAGCTGGACTAAACCAAGTGGAAGCTGCAATAAATGAAACTTAATACTAAAATATTTAATTATATGCCTATGACTGAGGCAGAGGTGAATCTTTACAAAATTACCCCATGGCCCTTAATCACAGGCTTGTAAAATCACTTAGCAACCAACTTCCTTTTATCCCCCCCATAGGGCATAATTAGCCCTTGCCCTGGTTCATAAAGGTTTGTTTTTAAAGTTCAGAATCGGTTTTAGGTGTTAAATACAGTCAGTCATCAGATATACAGAACATGCACAGAGTAAATAATGTTTGGCCAAGATATAGAAAGGACTTATTTCTTACCGGACTTTTCCTCTAAAAGTGCAGGCATGGGGAGGAAAAAATAAAGAGACAATGAAAGCGATGAAAGGTATATTCAAGAAGAGACAACTCAACGTTCAGAGCAACCTTCCTTAAAGCAGCTCTCCACGGCATTGCTCTTACAAATGCTTCCTGTGGGTGTCTGATCCGGCCATTTCCCGGCTGCTGGCTTTATACCACCCCCAAATATGCCACTTTGCCATATTGACTGTTTTGAGCTGTCGGCACATGAAAAGAGCAAACGCAAGGAGAGGCTTTCTCTGCACTCCCATAATCTGCCTACAGATACATCTTCCAAAAGGAACTCAGTATTCTGAAGAGTTTCATCAACCGAGCAGGACTGACTCATCAGAGGACAGGAGACCAGACGGTGACACCATGTTCAGAGAAACTTTATCACAGACTATCATACTTCTTATCTATGCTTCTAAGGGCCCATTCATGTTCCTTAAAAATCATTTACTCTCCCCGAAGAAGCCTCCATCTCTATGAAGATGGTGTTCAATCGTAAGTTCTGAAGCCACTTCTTTGAGTTACCCATTTTTCCAGAGTATTGGCCCGTTATACGTGAAACAGACATGTTAATAGACTTATGTTCATTTTTCTGTTATTAATCTTTTTGCTAAAAAGTCCCAGCTGGAAAGCTAAAATGCTTGAAGTAGTTTTGCATCCTCTACAAATTCAAGTTATAAAGGGCATAGGTGTGGCCTCCATTTGAGTACATTCTAAGCTTGCTTTTGAATGGTTGAATTTTATCAAGTAGATCTGTACTTTGAAAATAGAAGATTATGCTTTGTAATATTGAAAGGAATTGGAAAATTCCAGGAACGTGTTGCAGATTTTCCAAAATTTCCAATCTTATCAGGGAAAACTGGCATCTATTATCTTCTCCCAAGATACCCTGGCTCAAACTGTCAGTTCTCTCTTCCCATTTTTCACTTGCCCCCACTCCCCATGGGCAATTACAAATTATTTTCCTGGTGAGTGGCCCCTGGCCCCCTGGGAGTGCTCTTTTATTTCCTCAGCAACTGTCTGAATTTCATTTCATTTCTTGCTTACAGTAGTATGCACTCCTTCAGCCTCCTCCGTGTTTTGTATCCTAAATCCATCCTTCGTACTACCCGTAGAATTATTTTACAAAAATACTGAGGTGAATGTATTACTCTGCCCATTGAAAACCCACTATTCAGAAAACAGAATGCAAGCTTCATTCTGTCTTTTAATGCCTTCATGATAGGCTCTGGCTTCCCTCATCTTCCACTGTTGTCTGCATGAAGCCTACACTCGGCTGCAGACCCTCCTTCATGTCTCCCGAAGGTGCAGTCCACTCACATGTGTCCCTGCCTTCTGCTCCGGCTGCTTCTTCAGCCTCCAGTGCTTCCCCCTCTCCCTTCACTACTATCTCGCTTATTCTTCAAGGCCAGTAACATTTCCTCCATGAAGCCTTCTCCAAGCTTTCCAGTCAGAATAAATCATCCCCTGGCGTCTCTAGCCTCAGAGAAAACAAAGGCACACGTTGCTAGTATATTTTTTGCAGTTCTTATTTTGTTCTGTGTTATTTAGGTGTCTCTGTTTCATTATCTGTTCTCAGTAATGGTTATGCATGGATTCGCTGAGCCCCAGCCTAGTGCGAGGCACATAGTAGGCGCTCAGAGCATGTTTTTGAATTTTCTTTTCATGGTCATTAAAACATTGATACAAATGTTTGAAGCACAGTGTCTTTTAAAATATAGAAAGATGAACTGGTCTCTGAAATAAGGCTGAACTGTATACAGCCTGAGGGACGTGGCCCCAGTTGTGGTGGTTCCTTTACCAGCTCCTGTAAATGTATCACTGAGCACCTATTTGACTGTCGATCTCTCTGCCCGTTAGTGAACTCAGGCGCTAATAGATGATACAAAGGCTCCAAGGAAGTGGCACAGGTTTGCACAAACATTAGTGTAGAGCTATGTGATCAGGTCTCCAGGGTGGAATGTTCTCCTATAGCAAAAAAAATGACTACTTCAGAATAACTGAGGCTCAAGATAGGACCCACAGCCTTGGTGCTGCTTTCAGACTAGACCCTAACAAATAGCACAGAGAAATGAAAAATTTTAAGATCCAAGTCCTCAATTTACAAACAAAAGAATTTTGGGGTTAAATAGCTTCAAAGGAGTTGTCATGGAAGGAATTGCATGAGTTTTTACATATGCAAATTAGCTTAACCCCTTAATTTCTGGATGCTTTTGAGCAAGTTACACTGTTCCTCAATCCCATAGTTTGCAAAGCAGGGAAGACTGCTCCCTTGTAGAACTGTTGTGAAAATTAAAAGATGTGGATGGCAGTGACGGCTAACGTTTGCTGAGAATTTACTATTACTGTTTTACCTCGTGAGGTTGGTGTCATTATCTCCAGTTTACTAAGGAGGAAAAGGAGGCTTGGATGAGTTCCAAGGTCACCTGGTTACAAAGATTCAGAGCTGGGACTGGATCCCCGCTTGTCTAACTCCAGGGAGCCGGGTTGGGGTGGGCGCGTGGCAGAGCCCAATTCCCCTAAACAGACTGAATCCAGTTTCAAGCCCTTAGGAGCACTGGGATTTAGAAACGACAGAGCTAAAAGCTAACAGATCACAGAGCCTGAAAGATAATCTTGGATTTTTCCAAAGGAAGGAGTTTAATAGATCACGCCTGTCTATCATCGCAGGTCTCGGAATGAGCTTTTCAGCAAGTAAGCTTGTGTTTCTTGGCATGATTTCAGACCTTGTAATTAAACGCTGATTGTAAGGTAAATTTCTCAGCCTTTTTCTAGAATGAAATGCATTTGATTAAATTAGAATTAGAGGAATAAACATGAACACACAGATGATAAGGGCTCACCCCTCACTCCTACTCCAGGCTCTATGATGATTAAACCATCTTTACTCAACACGTTGTTTTAATTGTTAGCAGCTATCAACACCTAGGCGATGACCTCTTGGGAGTTTCTTCAGAATGTTGAACAAAGTGAAAAACATGACAAGACAATTCTCTTTTGGGGAAAGCAAAGATATTTCTTGATTGAAAAAGAGCTAATCGCATCAGAGTTATTTTGAATTATGGAAAAGATAATAAAAGGACAGAAAAAGAGCTTTATACCTCCAGGTACTCGTGTTCACAGAAACAATCTGGATTGAATTTACATACATGTAAAATATAACCAGTGAATTGTCTCTAAGTGCAGGGATGTTCCTGTCTGATGGTCTGAGCAACATAATTCTCTAATTTGCAAGCCTTGTTGAAAGGTAGCTCAGCCTTATGATCAACGGCTTTCCAAGGAGCCCAGAGACCCCTACCCTCCGCAAATGGAAAATCTCTCTCTGGCTGCATTATCCCAAATCGCTTTTTAATGCAAGCAGTCATTCAAGTTAGGTCTTGTCGAAGCCTTCCTTTCTGCATGAAGGGCTGGAGATCAGCAGCATTTAAGACTGAATTCTGTTTAAGACCCAGAGCTAAAGCTAACAGAAGTGAATAGAGAAAATATACACCACAGTTTCAATGATCCTTCCATGGAGATTTTGTGCTCTAAATATACCCCCGTCCTCTTAATGAGGAACTGAGTTGCCATGGGAATTTTTGGCATCAAGTTTTATAGAGTGGGATCAAGAAACAAAAAGCCAGATCTAATTTACAAGCTTTTTAAGAGTCTACAATTGTTTAACCTTAAAAATAGGATGGCTATATTTTGAGTCTTTATATTTTAACAAATGAGATTTTCTTATTGATGTAACTCCTTCCTATCAGTTATGTCTGACTAGTCAGGTATTCACAAGGAGCAAAAGGATGATTTAGTCATTTATCAAACCATTAACGAGTATTCACTGGGCGCCTAATTAGGACCAGACACTGTTCCCGGTACATTAGTGAGCAAAGCAATAGGAACAACAGACAAAGCTGCTCAATGAGCTTTTATGGGGAGAGGGAGGAGATAGATTATAAATAATAAATATATAAAAAAGCAAAGTATTTAGCATTTTAGAAGATGATATATGCAATTTTAAAAAGTAGAGCAAATACAGGGGGTTTGGAAATGCCAAGAAAGAGAGCTTTGTGACTTTAAATAAGGTGGTCAGGGGAGGGCTCATTGAGAAGGGGACTTGACGAAGCACCTGAGGTTGAAAGAGGGTGGTCGCAGTGCCACCCTGGGGGAAGAGGGAACGCCCAGGAGCAGGAGGGAATGGAGTGAGAAGGAAGGGTGGCAGGTGTTAGTCTGGGGTTGGGGGTGTCCCCACCACGAGGCTCTCAGAAGCTACTGTAGAGACCGGCTTCCCTCTGCTTCAGCGCGGCTCATGACTGTTACTTATCAGGAGTCCTCAGCGTGGACGTTTGGTCACTGTTGGTTGTTGAGAAGAGGCATTGATGAAACAGATGAAACAAGACCAGAAAACGCCTGGAGGGCACATATGTTGTTGTTTTTCATTACTCTTTGGAAGCTTATTTTGATTCCCCATGTACCATGTTAAAAATAAAATAATAAAATAAAATAAAGATGGGCTTCCAATGGGCTAGGAGGTAGAAAGGGAGTTTCGGCGGGGCAAAACAGAGTGAGAGCGGTCCATCTTGCCTTCCCTCTGTGCCGGCCACTTCAGGACAAGTAGCTCAGCGCGGCGTGCTCGGCTCTGTACCACTGCTGTGCGGGTGGCTGATTTGACGCAATAGTTCCTAAGGCCCATGGGCAGTTAGTGACTGTCCTTCAGACAATATAAGAGACAGAAGGAAATCTCACCTTCATTCTGTTTAGAAATGAAATCCCCCCTCCCACCACTCCACGTCTGAGGAAGCATTTTCTGACATAATTAATATGAGTGATTCACTCTCTAAGATTTTTTTCTAAAACAATTAAGAAGTACATTCATCGCTGTAGATTATTTCTAGCACTAAAAAAATTCTCCTTCAAAGAATAGGATAGATGTTTTTTCATACTGTTGCAGTTATTTCTACACTATTATTTGTACATTTATAGATGCTCTTTAGTATAAA